TACTTAAATTTTCTACCACTGTCTGACCATCGATGTTGAAAATTTAACTTAGTTGGTAAACCGGAAAAGAATGAGCATCAGACCTGAAATGGAATCCCACAATATGGGACTACAGCCATGTCAATGCTGTGAACAACATATCAAGAGGCTGTGGTAACTAGTTGTTAAGAAAACTGTTACGAAAATTTCCTACTATCTATTGATCATTAATTATGTCAAAATTTAACTAAGTCGGCAAAAAGGAAGTGGATAAGCGAATGACCTGAAATCAAATTCCACAGTATGGGACCATTTGTTGATGCTGTATACCAAATATCAAGAGGCTGTGATAAGTAGTTGCTGAGAAAACTGTTTGAAAATTTCCTACTATTGACCATTAATGTTGAAAATTTAACTAAGTCAGCAAACAGGAATTAGATGAGCATCAGACCTGAAATGGAATCCCACAGTATGGAACCATGTGTTGATGCTGTACACTAAATATCAAAAAGCTATGATAAGTAGTTGCTGAGAAAACTGTTACGAAAATTTCCTACTATTGACCATTAATGTTGAAAATTTAACTAAGTCAGCAAACAGGAAGTAGATGAGCGACAGACCTCTGAAATTGGATTCCACAGTATGGGACCATGTGTTGATGCTGTACACTAAATATCAAAAAGCTATGATTAGTAGTTGCTGAGAAAACTGTTACGAAAATTTCCTACTATTGACCATTAATGTTGAAAATTTAACTAAGTCGGCAAACAGAAAGTAGATGAGCAACATACCTGAAATTAAATCCCACAGTATGGGACCATGTGTTGATGCTGTGTACCAAATATTAAAAGGCTGTGATAAGTAGTTGCTGAGAAAACTATTACGAAAGTTTTTCCCCGCCCGCCGCCCAGCATTCACCATACTATAACCCATACTATAACCCGGGTTTGCACCAGTGCAACCCCGCAAAAAATATAGGAATTTCTGTGAAATAATATGGCACTTTTAGGAATTCCTATTCAATTTTTCATTTTTTTAGGAATTTAAGCCAAACTGAAACAAGAGGGCCATGATGGCCCTAGATCTAGATCGCTCACCTGACCCATCAAACTCATCCGAATTATTACCTAGACATGCATTCTGACCAAGTTTCATGACAGGTGAGTCAAAAATGTGACCACTAAAGGTTTTTCCATATTTGGGCTGTATGACCGAGTTTTTCATCCGAGGTGACCCATGTTCGAACTTGACTTAGAAATCATCAAAACAAACTTTCTGACTAATTTACAGGATATTTGGATCAAAACAGTAGCCACTAGAGTGTTAACAATATTTTTCTATTTTTAGCTCCTGTGACCTAGTTTTTCATCCGAGATGACCCTGATGATGTTCGAACTAATCCAAGCAATTACCTAGACAAGCATCCTGACCAAGTATGATGATGATTGAGGCAAAAATGTGACAGCTAGAGTGTTAACAAGGTTTTTCTTTTTTTAGCTCCGGTGACCTAGTTTTTCATCCGAGATGACCCATGTTCGAACTCATTTGAGCTATCACCTAGACAAGCATCCTGACCAAGTTTGATGATGATTGAGGCAAAAATGTGACCGCTAGAGTGTTAACAAGGTTTTTCTATTTTTAGCTCCGGTGACCTAGTTTTTCATCCGAGATGACCCATGTTCGAACTCATTTGAGCTATCACCTAGACGAGCATCCTGACCAAGTTTGATGATGATTGATGCAAAAATGTGACCGCTAGAGTGTTAATAAGGTTTTTCTATTTTTAGCTCCGGTGACTTAGTTTTTCATCCAGGATGACCCTTGTTTGAACTCATCCAAGCTATAACCTAGACAAGCAATCTGACGAAGTTTGATGATGATTGATGCAAAAAATGTGACAGCTAGAGTGTTAACAAGGTTTTTCTATTTTTAGCTCCGGTGACATAGTTTTTTATCCGAGATGACCTATGTTCGAACTCATCCGAGCTATCACCTAGACAAGCATCCTGACTAAGTTTGATGATGATTGAGGCAAAAATGTGACCGCTAGAGAGTGAAAAGGTTTTTCTATTTTTAGCTCCGGTGACCTAATATTTCATCCCAGATGACCCATGTTCGAATCTTATCCGAGCTATCAACTAGATAAGCATCCTGACCAAGTTTGATAACAATTGAGGCAAAAATGCGACCGCTAGAGTGTTAACAACTAAATGTGAAAGGACGACGGACAACGGAGAATCATCGATCCTAAAAGCTCACCCAGAGCATGCTCAGGTGAGCTAAAAATTAGGATTTTTTAGGATTTTTAGGGACGCTGGACAGCCTGTTGTTAACATAAATTTCAAGTTCAAGGGGAAAATTCTGGAAATAGTCACCCTAGAGTTATGGACCTTGTCACACAACATGAGTGTAATTATAAGAAATGTACATTTGAAGTTTGAAGAAGATACCTTAAAAGGAAAGAAGTTTGGACGAAAATTGTACGTTCAAAGTGAAATAAATCTGAAAATATTGGTTCTAGGGTTACGAACCTTGTTGTATAAGATGTGGTTGATGATAAGGGCCATATATTTGAAGTTTTAAATTGTTACCTTAAGAAATGAAAAAGTAATAGTAACAAGAGGACCATAAAGGCCCTGAAATTGCTCACCTGTATATAGGCCCCCGGGCCAAGGCGAATTTTTACCCATAGGCTTTTATTTGAACAAACTTAGTAGACACCAATTTGAAGATGTTTCATGATAAATATCTAAGCTTTAGCTCTTTGGGGTTTTATCAGAAGATTTTTAAAGTTTTTACTACATGTATATACATATAGGGAAGAACAATGACGCCCTCCCCCCCCCTGGGAGGGGCCAAATTTGACCCCAGGGCTATTATATGAACAAACCTGGTAGACACTCACTAGAAAATATTTAATGCTTAATATTATCTTAACTCCAGACACTGACTTGATGATGTCATGGCAACAAGACTTATGCTAGAATTAAATTCTTTGAATTTGTTTTTAAAGTTGACTACAAAAGAAACATTCCTGTGAAGTTTGGATGAAATTGGCTAAGTGCTTAATAAGAAGATGTCGTTTGAAGTAAAAGTTTACAGACGGACGGACGCCAGACGAAAAACGATCATAAAAGCTCACCATGTCACTTTGTGACAGGTGAGCTAATAATATTTTCAGACCGCCTCCGTTGTCGAGGGGTTAGTCTCGATGACTTCTAATCCAGTTACCTCTCTGACGTTGGTTCGATCCCCGGGAGATGCTTTGGTAGTTTAGCGGGGAGGAAGGTAGTCTAGTACTGGTGTAACTCTCCAGGAACAATGGATAGGAAACTACCCGCCTATATGACTGGAATACTGTTGGGAAAAGGCGTAAAATGAAACAAATAAACAAAAAATCAAAGAAAATTCTAAGTTCAAGGGGAGATAAATCTGAAAATATTGGTGCTAGAGTTATGAACCTTGTCATACACGATTCGGTTGATGATAAGAAACATATATTTGAGTAACGAAGTTCAGATCACTTACGAAATAAAGAAGTAAGAGCAAAAAATATTTTACTGCACCAAAACTTTAATCAGAAATCTGGACACGGACGCCGAATCTAGTAGGACAGCTCTCCATAAACTTTGTAAAGTCGAGCTAAGAAAATGCTATATTTATGTTAAAATCACATTAACCCCTCGCTGCCAGAGGGTTATTGTTTTATTGATCACCTATTTGCCAGAAGGTTTTCTAAGAAATTACTATATTATAAATTAATATTATTATTATTTGTTATTAGTATTAAAATGATTATATATGTTTCCAAATATGCTAGTTTAATGATAATTATTGTCGATGGTATAATTTTCTTTATATTTATTATTATTTTTATTATTAATATTGATTTATTAATATTATTATGATTATTATAGAAACGGCTAAAGCCGTCCATATGGCAAATACGCCGAAAATAACAGCGACGGCTTAAGCCGTCCCTATGGCAGTGAAAGGGTTAAAAGCCATGCATTATCAAATAATGGAGTGTAAAACTGATTTGATAAAAAAAAAAAATAGGGTATTTGATGTAAAGTCATAATTTATATTAGGCTTTCTGGTTTTTCAAAAATTTTTCACTTTTGGTAAATACTATTGTCACATGTGACTGTTACCACCTTGTGATCTATTGTTAAACACCTATTACTTGTCACTAAATACTAGCCTGGGTTCCAGTCTGTCAATTTTTTTTATGTGCTTCTGTTCGGCAAATCGACAGCCTGGGGAAATACAATTTTCAATCGAAGCGCCACCTAGTTTACACCCCGAAAATTGCGGGTGTTATAAAAGAACGATAACTCATGCAACAACAAACTAGTTTCTAAAAATAGAAACGGAATTTCCACGAAGTGATCCGAAGCTCAACGAACAGTTACGGAGCCTCGCTTTCAAAACACCATTTCCGATTAAAAACTAACACTCGTTGACAAAGGTTATTGCATGATAAGTGAATTTGATCAACAGGTGTGATTAGTTAAAGTAGATAAAGTGTGTGAGCATCAGATAATTTTGCTGGACTCAATTTATAATGATAAATGGCGTCAAATTTTCAACATTTATTATCTTCGCCTCGATTTCGATTTAGTCATGTAATTTGTTGGTCACGTGCTAATCGGTTTATCAATAGGATTATCATTAGTCAATAATTACATGGGAAACCCCGCAGGTTTCCCCACGCGTTGATACTATCAAAACTAGAAATGTTGCGTTATCTATGACGATCGAGTATGAAATAGCGCGTAAGTTATGAATAAGCAAAAAAAATATCAACGCCTGAATCTCAGGCTAACTAAATACATGTATAACACAGTCTTCGTTAGGAAGAAAATTGTGGCCTCGAACAAATTTTAATAGTTTTCATAATAAGTTTGCCCAAACGAGTGACTTGTACATGTATATAAATTTGTAAATGAAATACACAATATTTTGTGCATAAACGATAAAATTGTTTGGTATTTCTTATAAATATAAAAGACACTTACCTATTCCAAACAATGTTGTAACAACTGTGTGTATCTGTTGATCTCTTGCTGCCAACAATACATTTTTATATGCCCTTTCCAGATCAGCTTGTCTTTCATCTTGTGGTTTACGTCTAGCTTCATATGGATATACAACAAGAAGTACTGCTGGATAACCACAACTGTATCCACCATTTACTATAACATCTCCTGTCTTGGTACCTTTACTTGCTTTTCTTTCAAAGTCACCATTGAAACTAGGTAAGTAAGACTTTGGTATTTTGTTGAGAATTGCTTGTCCAATAGCACCAAATTTCCCTTTTTCATTTACTGATACAACTATTCCATTAGCTTTCACAGAAAATATGTCTTGCACACAGTAAATATTTAGCTTTTCTGACTCAATGAAACAAAAAGCATTACGTTTCCAACCTTCTTCATATGCAAGTGGCTCTGGTAACTTTTGTGAACTTTTGCTAACTGCTGTTTTAAGGCTAGTAGCTCCAAAGCTTTCTGTTGTTTTAAGACTGGTAGCTCTAAAACTTTCTGAATCTGCTCCTCTAGTAATCTCCACTGATGCTCCTTCTCTCTGTTTAGCTTGGAAAGCCTCCTGAATTCTTTTAACAGTTTCAGGCTTTATGTCGATGAAGTGTATTTCAGAGAGTGTATTAGGTTTACCAACAGCTTTCTTGCAATATGAAATAGTGGCTCTTGCATACTGTTCAACACATATCTCCATAGGTACACCAAATAAGTCTAAAAACAAAATTTAAAATCAAGCAATTATCATAGTATTGCAAGCAATCCTTAAGTCCCCTACCGGTAAGAACCCCTTGCAACATTCTGAAGGGCCATTGGCCATTCACTAATGCTTCATTATTTTTCTCAATTTTAAGTAAATTTGTTGGACAAGTTCTTTAATAGTAATCAAAGGAAATAGTTTTTATGAACAGACAGACAGACGGACTGAAGGACACCCTTAAGTTAATATTTGAAACATCCCTGTTACCAAAATATGACATAACTTAAAGCAAAATTCTTAAACAGGAGATAACTCTTGAAATAATAATGCAATTTCATAAAAATTGTCAGCTTTTTTGACTAATCACAAATACTGTTATATTTGCCATATTTTAAGCCTATTTGTTGCCATAACTAACATATTTTTCAAAATAGGAAGAAAAGATAGAGACATGCATAATATCCAGACTGCCATCTACCCATATGTCAACTTTCATAAAAATATTTTAAGTACATTTTGAGTTATCACCGGATCCAGTTTGTGTAAAATTTGCCATATTTTCAGTCTATTTGTTGCCATAGCAACCAGAATTTTCAATATAGGAAGAAAAGAAAAAGACATGCATAATCTCCATACTGCCATCTACCCATATTTTAAGTTTCATAAAAATATTTCCAGTACTTATTGCGTTATCACTGGATCCACTGGAACATAGGAAGAAATTTATGTGTTTAATTTACATAAAGAATTCTCCTGACCCCCGATTTCAAAAAGTGATGACAAAGGCTCACCAAGTCACTTTGTGACAGGTGATCTAAAACGACAAAGGAGGTCACAAGAAAATAGGTCAATTGTCATTATCTTTTTAGCTGATATCAAAGTTTAATTTCGCACCTAGAACTGTCTACATGGAAATTCAATAGCTGTACATCAATTGACAAGACAGTAGGTCACTTGCCCATTTCTAGGTCAGCTGATATCAAAGTTCAATTTTACATCTCAAACTATGCATATGGTCTAAAAAGAAGGTCTACTGTGTTCCCTTGGGTAGGACAAAATTTTGACCTCAAAGCTTTAATCTAAGCAATCATGATACAGGTCCACCAGACAATGTTTCATTAAGATTTTTTATAAATTTTTTTGTTTGTTTGTGTTTAATTTACATAAAGAATACTCATGACCCCCAATTTCACCAATTTAGCATACCTGAACTTATAGCAGGAAAAGCAATACTTCTCAATTCCATGCCTTCAGCAATGGTAAAACAGTTGTAAATGGCATTAAAGAGATCATCTTTACATCTTTGAACATCATCACGAGAGTGTCTTCCATAATCATACCAATTAGGACCGACTGTATTAATCACACATTTATAATGGAGATTTCCAGCAGTTGTTGCAATAGCATGACCAACTGGAATGTCACCATGCTGAGCAATATAATCATCCCCTTCCTTTGTTAGGCTATATCCTGCTGTTCTTGCTATCACAGCGGCTACACCTGCACCATGTGATAGGTGTTTGTTTGCTGCATTTACAATACAATCAACAGTGAGGTTTAAAATATCCCCTCTATACACTTTTACCAGTGTGTTGCCAAATTTATAGCATTGCTCTTTATCACTATGATAAGCACTTGTTTTCCTAAAAGAATGTTCAAATCTGATGTCTGATTTTATTTCATCCGAAGCAGTATCATTATTGCTTTGAGTATTAACTGCTCCTCTGTTTTTACGTCGATTTTGTCCTGTATGTTTTATTTGGCCAGATGTGATATTAAAATGGTGCTTAACCTTCATGACCTTATCATATGTATCATCATAAGCATATACTTTATTTTTGTCTTGATTCCAAACACAACATTCATATCCCAATGATTCCTCAACTCTTTTACAGAAGCCAGGCACATCTGGCTTCATTACTCTCTCTGAATCTATCAAAATTTCTGAAATTTCTTTATTCATCATTTCTTGTATACTTATTGTCAGTTTGTGTACCTCACTTTTAGCAACATCACTGTCATGAGCTGGTATTACAATCTTTGAATTTTCAAATTTAACAGGTCTACATTTTTTCTCAAAAGAAATTATGTCCTTTTTACATATTTCCCTTACAATATTCCAAACATCTTCAGTAGCTTCCATTTCAATGTTGTTGTCGATTGCAACCAGTTCATTGTCATTTATACCTTCCTGTGTATTATCCTCTTCATCATATTTTGCGAGTATTGTCTTTGCATACTTGAGTTGATAAGTTGTCAATGTTTCAATTTTTCCAGAGACTTCATCAACATTTACATGAATTTTCTTCAGTTCATCCTTGTCTTCTGGTTGTAAATCTTTAGCCTTTGGAAAAATCAATAAAACATGTGTGTAAGACTAGAAAAAGAAACTAATTACAATGACTCCGGAAATATCTATTTTAAGATTATATTCAGAAACACATTTTAGAAGTAAGTTATTTTGCTTTTGGCCTGGTTTTTTGGTTTTTATTCAAGCCAAAGTATTAAAAGGATGGTATGGTCAGAGAGTCAGTAATTACTATATTTATTATGCTTCCCTTTTGGGCATAAGCAGATGCCTCAGCTAGAGTAAATAATTGCACAACAAAAATAGTCCATGCTGTGTTTCCTAACAGTTAAACCTGAAGTCAAGTCATATGCACAAGAGAACAATGTTCATATAATTAAAAAAGAGGGACATGATGGCTCTGAAATTGTTCACATTAATATAACAAGAGCTGTCCGTAAGACAGCGCGCTCGACTTTTTTATTGCTTGCCAATAAAAAAAGTTTTTGCAGTAAAAGGCAATACAAGAATCTCTGTATTTTTAAAGTGAACAATGGCCATGAGCATTAAGATATTTAGTGAAGAATTATTTTACTGAATTGTGTGATACCCTTGAACACTGCAGCAAAGTTTGAAATGTTTAAGTCAAAAGAGGGCTGGTAAGAAAGAAAAAAAAACTGAGTTGAGCCTTAAATAAATTTAATAGTATTAAACCCACTTTGAGAGAATAAGGTATTTTTACGTCACTCAGAACACCTTGGTAAATGACATAGGAATGAATTTTTTTAGATTTTTTAAGTTTTTTAGTGCTTGCCTATAATACAAAACATTGACAGTTAAGGGCCATAATTCAAATAAAATCTTTGACAGAATTACCTTCTCCTGGACATGTTTGGGAATCATGATTGTAAACAAGTATTCCAACTTTCAAATTAATATCTCAAACAGTTCAGTCAAAAAGTGGACTGGTACTAAAAACTTAACCAAGATTCTAAGTCGATAAAAGGCCTTAATTTTTAAAACAAATCCTTGACAGAGTTACCTTCTCTTGCGTACAGATGGGGGTAATGATGTGAAATAGCATTAAAAGTTTCAAAGCAATATCTCAAAGGGTTAAGGCAATAAGTGGATTTTACCCATATTCAATGTATTTTCTAAGTCAAAAAGGGGCATAATTCTGTCAAAAACCTTGACAGAGTTATGTCCTCTTGTCTGTTGATGAAGGTCGTGATGGTAAACAAGTATGGTCAGTTTCAAAGCAATACCTCCAATGGTTTTGAAATAAAGTGAGGTGGTACAAAAAACTTAACCAAGCTCAATACACTTTCTAAGTCAAAAAAGGGCCATAATTCTGTCAAAAACCTTGACAGAGTTATGTACTCTTGTCTGTAGATGGAGGTTATGATGGTGAACAAGTATGGTAAGTTTCAAAGCCATACTTGTAATACTTCTGAAATAAAGTGGGGTGGTACGAAAAACTTAACCAAGGTGTGACGCCAACGCCGATGCCGACGCCGACGCCGGGGCGAGTAGGATAGCTCCCCTTTTCATAGAAAAGTCGAGCTAAAAACTCTCCATGACAGGGAACAAGTCATATTGTTAACTATAAACAAAAGCAGATATAAAATCTAAATTTACAACTCATCAACTCATATCACAAAGTTTATATTTGTATTTGAAAAAGTGCATGTGTATAACCATAACTTGTTGCTATTTCTAAGGGAAAACAACAGTTCCAAAAGATGTGTACATATAGCTAAAATCATTGGGTGGAGCCAATTTTGACTCCATGGCTTTTATTTGAACAAAATTGACAGACCCTTGCTAGATTATGTTCCATGCTAAATAGCTAAGCTCTAACCCATCAATCAGTTTGGTGTATGTTTACACCTGCAAGATTTATGATTATTAATTTATTTGTTATTTTGAATGTAGGTGTGATATTTGGCAGAATCTATTCAGATCCGAGAGGTTAATTTCGGAGTTAAATAAGAACAAAAATTGAAGAAATCATCCAGAATTCGGAGTAGACAGGTTCCGGATCCAAAAGCTTTTTTGCGGTTGAAAATAGAACGAATAAAATGGGGACCGGACACTTTGTTCTGATAAGAAAAAATTTCGGATTAGAATGGTTTGGATTTGAGCAAGGCTCCACTGTATAAGGAAAATCAATGACCCCTGTGACTGGGCCAATTATGACCCAATGGATTTTATTTGAACAACAAAAGATGTTTCATGCCAAATTCTTTGGGTTCTTTAAAAGAAGATTTTTTAAGTTTTTGCTTTTGGTTGCCATTGCACCCAGAGTTCTGCATGGAATTAAATTATTTGAACATTTATTTAAGGTGACCACCAAAGGAATATTTCCGTGAAGTTTAGATGAAATTGGCTTCGCAGTTTATGAGGAGATGTCTTTCAAAGTAAAAGTTAAATGACGCTTGGATGGGCACTGGATGATTTGTGATAAAAAAAGCTCACCTTGTCACTTTGTGACAGGTGAGCTAAAAACATCTAAGAATAATCTTGTATAAAAACTTCCTATTGATCATTTATTTAGAATTCATTGAAATAAAAATCATTTTCAAAGAACTCGGAAATATTTACAGGGTTGTAATGCTTCAGTAAAATCAGAACAATCAAACACATCCATGATGTCAGAATTCATTTTATACTACATGTATATTATACTTGAATATCGTTCATTCCAACTATTCACCATGGACATATCCAGAACATCTAATCTAAACTAAGATTAATACCTTCTTTCCATCATATCCCTTGAATGTCAACTCTGACTTTGACATATTTTCGAACTTTTCAGCATCTGTATCAAAGAAGAAGAGGACAAACTTTATGTTAAATCACTTAAAACAAATTTAAAGTCAATCAAAATCACTGTACTTTTTTTAAGTATCTTCATAACAAAAAGACCATGATGGTATTTTGTTCAAAAGCGACTAGAGCTATCACTAAATGTGATTAATACCCCCGCATTAGACTGCTTCGGAAATGAGTAAGTTACTAGTAACAGAATACCTTGTAAAAGAATTGAAATAGAGTTATGGTTATGGGCAAATAAAGATAGTTGTGGTTCTTGTATGTAAAGTAATCATTTGAATTCAATGCAACTTCACACAATGGTCAAGCGCAGTGAGATGAAGTACAATGCACAAGAACCTAACTTTATTTGACTTATTACATAGTCATTGCCCTTTGTTACTTTTTTTTTGTCCAGTGCATAACTTGAAAACTAGTAGATGTAATTCAATGCAACTTCATACAATGTTTAAACGTAGTGTGAGAAAGTGCAGTGTACAATAACCATAATTCCATCTTCAGTATTTGCAGAGTTATTGCCCTTTGTTCCTTTTCCTTGTGCAGTGCATAACTTAAAAACTAATGTTTGGAATTCAATGCAACTTCATACAATGGTCAAGCGCAATGAGAGGAAGTGCAGTGCTCAAGAACTGCAACTTAATCTGGACTTATTACAGAGTAATTCAATGAAACTTCATCAATGGTCAACCACAGTGAAAGAAATTTTGTAAAGTAAACACCTTAAGAAATAAAAACCTTATAGTGAAAAGGCTGAAAAATTTAAATCAGAAATCTTGAAATTCAGGCTATTTGTTGCCATGGCAATCAGAATTTTCAACATAGGAAGAAAAGAAAAAGATGTGCATAATCTCCAGACTGCCATCTACCCATATGTCAAGTTTCATAAAAATATTTTCAGTACTTTTTTGAGTTATCACTGGATCCAGTTTATGTGTTAAATTTGCCATATTTTTCAGACTATTTAATGCCATAGCAACCAGAATTTTCAACATAGGAAGAACAGAAAAAGACGTGCATAATCTCCATACTGCCATCTATCCATATATCAAGTTTCATAGAAATATTTCCAGTACTTTTTGCGTTATTGCGGGATCCAGTTTTGTGGACGGACGGACTGACGGACGGACAGACAGACAGAGGGTAAACCTAAAGTCCCCTCCGGTTAAACCGTTAGGGGACTAATAACTATGTAATAAGTCTGAATAGAGTTATGGTTTCGAGCACTGCACTTTATTTCACTGTGCTTGACCATTGTATGACGTTGCATTGAATTTCAACCATTAATTTAATATAAGTGATCATCCTATGAGGTCTGACAGTTGTAAAACTGTTAACAATATTAAGGTCATTTGATGTTGACCTTTGACCTTGTGACCCAATATATTTATGGATATTTTATTCAATATAGGCAATCATCCTATGAAATTTGAACACTGTTAGCCAAATGGAACTTTTGTTACGCACCAGAAACCACAATTTTCAGTGTTAATGTCATTGTGACCCTGACCTTTGACCTTATGACCTTAAAATCAATAGGGGTCATGTATTGGACAATGCTGTTCATCCTATGTAATTTTACAGCTGTAGGTTGATTAAAGTGTATAAAGCTATATATCGGATGCATAAACTATTGTTTGGAATTTAAAAAAAATACTTTCAAAACATTTGAATGAAATAAAAATGGCAATAAATTGCTTAAATGCAAATGGCGCATGCATAAAGTCATAGCTAAACGGATAAAACCTTACTTAAAATAGCAAAATAATATTTTGTTTCAGAACATTTTATTCTGTTTACATACATTTTTCATGTGTATTAAATAACAGAGACATTCTATGTTAAAACTTTTTAGGGAATCAACCATATATGATAATGGAACCAATATAACTTTACTGTTGATATTTTTTTTAAAAATATTTCATAAAATATAGATTTATACCCTTTAATACTTAAACCATTAAGCCAAAATGGATTTAGTTTTAAGGTATAGTGACCTTGACCTTTGACCTTGTGACCCAAAAATTAATAGGTGTCTTCTAATTAATATTGACACTCATCCTATGAAGTTTGAATACTGAGGGCCAAATGGAACTTAAGTTATGCTCAAGAAACCATAACTTTCAGTGTAAAGATTGTTTTTACCCTGATCCTGACCTTTGACATAATGACCCTAAAATCAAAAGGGGTCATGTATTATACATGGCTGTTCATCCTATAAAATTATACAGCTGTAGGTTGATTAATACTTTAGTTATTGAGGGGAAACTGTTTTCAGTTTTAAGGTAAAAGTTACCTTGACCTTTGTCCTTGTGACCCAAACATCAATAGGGGTATTCTACTCAATATGGACAATCATCATGAAGTTTGAATATTGTGGGCCAGATGGAACTTAAGTTATGCTCTGGAAACCAAATTGCTAACAGAAGGACGGCTGGCTGTCCAGTCGAAATGGAATAAGGGGCCATTTCTATTGTTATTTTCTATTGTTAACAGAGGGCCAATGGCCCCTAACTCTATTGTTATGGAATTAACTCTATTGTTCTCTTTTGTTCTGTTTACAGTTACATGGCCCTCTAACCCTATTCGGTAGTGCAGACAGACAGATGGACCGACGCCAGGGGGTATAATATAATATGTCTGAAATTCTTTCAGGAATATAACAACGGGCAACTAGACCTATGATGGTGATTCCTACCCCCACAAGCAACTTTGACTTTTTGAAAAAGAAGAGGTTTGAAGAAAAATTTGAACTCAACCTATAGAAAATGAAGTACCAACTGTGTACAAAGAATTATCTCAATTGATTGCATTCCAAACCTGGGTCTTCATACAAGCTTCCTATACACCAAGTTTGATTACAAAATTTAATTCCTAACTCTAGTTTTTGTCCTTATTCTAACATTTTTCTGTTTTAAGTATTAGTGACCTTGACCCCTGGGGGTCAAAATACAATTCCAGACAGAGTCTTCATAATAAAAAACTTGCTATACATTAAGTTTGATTATAAAATCATATTCCTGACTGGAAACCTTTTTTCTATTTAAGTAACAGACACATTGACCTTAACCCAAAGGAGTCCAAATGCAATACCAACCGCGGTCTTCATATAGGCTTGCTATAAACAAAGTTTTATTACAATATCATTCCTAACTCTAGTTATTGTCCAGAAACAATTTTTCTATTTTTAGTAACAGTGACCTTGACCCCAGGGAGTCCAAATGCAATACCAGCTGGGGTTTTCATATAATCTTGCTATACATTAACTTTGATTACAATATGTCATTTCTAACTCAAGTCATTGTCCCGAAACATTTTTTTTTAAATTTTTAGTAGCACAGAGGAAGGTAGTGTAGTACTGGTGTAATGCTCCAGGAACAATGGTTTGGAAACTTCCCACCTTATGATATGACTGAAATACTGTTTAGAAAAGGGTAAAATGAAATAAACAAGCTGTGACCTTGACCCCAGGGGGTCCAAATGCAATACAAGCCGTGGTCTTCATATAAGCTTGCTTTACACAAAATTTGATTACAAAACCGCATTCCTCCCTCTAGTTATTGTCCGGAAACTGTTTTTCTATATTCAGTAATGGTGACCTTGACCTGAGGGGATCCAAATGCAATACCAACTGGGGTCTTCATATAAGCTTGCTATACATTAACTTTGATTACAATATCTCATTCCTAACTCTAGTTATTGTCAAAAAAACATTTTTTTATTTTTAGTAACAGTGACCTTGACCCTAGGGGGTCTAAATGCAATACCTACCAGGGTCTCCACATAAGGTTGCTTTATACCAAGTTTGATTACAATACCTCATTCCAAACTCTAGTTATTGTCTGGAAACCATGATGAACATCAACCGATGGACTGAATTACCAACCAACAAGCTGACTTCTATATACCCCCTTCCCCCTTTGAACGTTGTTTGTGAGGGTATAATAACTCTACAATGAGTCAAGAAAGAGTTATGGTTACTGTGTACTGCACTCCCTCTCAATATACTTGACCATTGTAAGAACTTGTATTATATCCAACCAGTACTTTTCAAGTTATGCACAGGACAAGAAAAAAGTATCAAAGGACAATAACTCTGTTGTAAGTTAAGATGGATTTATGGTTATTGTGCACTGCACTTACTCTCAATATGCTTGGCAATTGTATGAAGTTGTATTGAATTCCAACAAGTAGTTTTCAAGCTATGCTCTGGACAAGAAAAAAACAATGGAAAAGTAACTAAGGCCAAAAACTCTATAATCACTCTTGATAGACTTATGGTTCTTGTGTTTTGTTTAAAATATACATTTAACACTCTAAAATGAAAAACTTTAGGGCCCATTGTCTAAAAATTGTCTAACACACACAATTAAATTTAATATAAATTTAATTTAAAACATTAAGAATTAAACAAAGAGGGCCATAGTGACCTTTGATTTATCACTTGATATTAATTCCTATAAATAGTCATTATTTCTAAATAAATGGGCCATTTTATGACATATTTATTTTCTCAAACAACATGAAGTATTTAACTTTTATAGATATCTACTGTGAAACATTTCAATTATCTTTAGCCTCAGCATTGAGGACATACTAAATAACTTTTATAAGCATTAAAGATTCTTTACTCTGGGAATTTAAGATACTATATTTTGTCCTATATTTTGGGAATCAAGTATTAAGCGTAGAGAATCTAGGAATTTCCCAAAGACTATGCGAAAAGTTTCATATATTTCAGCTCATAGCTTCTTAAGTTATTGACAAAGATAAGGAATTTACACAAAGTGTAACAAAGTGTTACTGTGACCTCAATTAACACAAGAGCGGGTTGAACCAGGTGATGCTCCCTGAATAGGTTTTGACACAGGAAAGTATACCTCTTTTAGTGTTAAAGTAATGTCATGGAAAAAATTCAAAATGTAAAAAGAAAACAAAGGGCCATAACTTCAAGTAAGGCAAAGCAGAGTTATGGTTCTTTGACATTGC